GCCTTCCAAGTAGCTGGAACTACAGGCGCGCGCTACCACGCCCAGCTGATTTTTTATTTTTACTGTAGAGATGAGGTCTCGCCAAGTTGCCCAGGCGGGTCTCGAACCCATGGGCTCAGGCAGTTCACTCACCTCAACCTCCCAAGGCACGGGATTACAGGCTGAGCCACCAAGCCCTACAGCGTATTCTGACTTCTTAATCCTGCCAGTACTTCCAGAGCAGTGTTCCAGTAAACCTAGATTAAAAGTACATGTTTTAGGCTGGGCTCAGTGGCTCAGCCTGTAATCCCAGTGCTTTGGGAGACCGAGGTGAGTGGATTGCCTGAGCCCGCGTTCAAGACCTGCCCGGGCAACTTGGCAAGACCACATCTCTACAATAAATCAAAAATCAACCGGGTGTGGTAGCGCACACCTGTAGTTCCAGCTACTTGGAAGGCTGAGGCGGAAGAATCACCGGAGCTCAGCAGATCGAGGTTGCGGTGGCTGGGAGTGTGCCACTGCACTCCAGTCTGGGAGACGGAGTGAGACTCCAACTCAAAAAAAAAAAAAAGTACATGTTTTAAATAAGTGGCCTAGTCCCATGTCAGATGTCCTAAGTAGGAAAACTTTCTTATCTCATGTCTTTCTTGTAGAACTTTTTTATTCCCATCTATTCTCCAGAAGAATCTGTTATCGTAATTATATCTATACATGTTTGTAAACAGATCTATTGTTTTCTAACAAAAATTATACTTGAGGCCGGGCTCAGTGGCTCGGTCTGTAATCCTGCGCCTTGGGAGGCTGAGGTGAGTAGATTGCCTGAGCCTGCAGGTTCGAGACCCACCTGGGCAACTTGGTGAGACCTCATCTCTACAATAAGTCAAAAAATTAGCTGGGCATGGTAGCGCGCGGCTGTAGTTCCAGCTACTCGGAAGGCTGAGACGGAAGTATCACTGGAGCCCAGCAGGTCGAGACTGTGGTGGCTGGGAGCGGCCACTGTACTCCAGTCTGGGCGATAGAGTGAGACTCCCACTCAAAAATAAAAATAAAAAATTATAGTTGAAAGAGTAATATTTATATACTAGAAATAAAATAGTCATAACCTATTCTGTAGGAATAATAGTCAGGAAAGCAAACTGCCAGATTAAAGCAGATCAAAGAAATTCTGCTTGACTCATTAAAGAAAGGAAACGGTGAAAGCAAGATTATTTTTTCCTAAAAAGAAATTCTGTTGTCATTGCCATACATATACAAAAACTCATTTCTATTACTAGGAATTTATGTACTGCCTCTCTAACCAGGAATTCGTGACATTTTACATGCTTTTATAAAATGGATGTTAATTTAGAAATCCTTATAAAGTAGGTATATCACTTTTTAGGACGCTGAAATTTTCTTGCTGTCTCACTAATATAATACTACTAATATAGGCATAGTTTTCTTTATAAGAAATTAAGTATTTATTGAATTTTTAGAAATCTGAGAGCAATAACAATGTTTTATATATCTTTTTATCCCTTAGGTGCACTGCTTGTAACAAGTATTTGATAAATAGAAGAGTAGTATATGATTGGTAGTGCTAAAGAGACTATTGGCTGATAAGTGACTATTCCATTTTATTTATTTTTATTTTTATTTATTTATTTATTTATTTTTTGAGTTGGAGTCTCACTCTGTCGCCTAGACTGGAGTGCAGTGGCCGCTGGGCTCTGCACTCTTTCCGCTGGGCTCCGGCAATTTTTCCACCTCAGCTTTCCAAGGAGCTGGAACTACAGGCGTGCACTACCACGCCCAGCTAATTTTTTTTTTATTTGTTGTAGAGATGCGGTCTCGCCAAGTTGCCCAGGCGTGTCTTGAACCCACGGGCTCAGGCAATCCACTCACCTCAGCCTCCCCAACGCGAGGGATTACAGGCTGAGCCACTGAGCCCAGCTGACTATCCCATTTTAAATGCTCTCAGAAGTTGGCTTATATAAAGAGACCCTACAGAAAATTATTTTGTGCTGGGCATAGTGGCTCAAGCCTGTAATCCCAGCACTTTGGGAGGCTGAGGCGAGAGGATTGCCAAGGGTTCAAGACCAGCCTGGGCAACTTGGTGAGACCTCGTCTCGACAATAAGTCAAAAAATTAGCAGGGTGTGGTGGTATGTGCCTGTGGTTCCAGCTACTTGAAAGGCTAAAGCGGAAGGATCACCTGAGCCCAGGAAGTAGAGGCTGCGGTGGCTGTGAGCAGCGTTCTGCTACTCTCCAGTTTGGGCAACAGAGTGATATTCCATCTCGAAAAACAGAAAATTATTTTGTAAACTGAAGACTATTTTTACAATTAAGTAAAATTAATTCATCTATTCCTTAATTCACCTGTTTTTTTAAAAATCATTGTCAGTTTTTTTTTTAATTTCAGTAGCTTTGGGGGTAAAGTCAAATATATATATATATCAGAACAAACTAGTGAGGCTAACCTCTTGCTTCAATATATAACATGGAAGTATAATAAAATATTAAAGTGCAGTAATGTATTAATCCTGCTTTTTACTGTCCCATGTAGAAGTAATTTTTGTATACATTGTTATTATACAATAATAGGTAATATGAACTAAAATAAGAGTTTCAGCAATAATGAAAAAGCAACGGTAAACCCATTCAAATTTTCTTAAGCAAGTAGATAAAAATGCCAACTTGCCTTCATAATTGTTAATTATGAAAAGAAACATGAAGCTAAAAGTATACATTACATGTTTAATTCTGCTTAAATTTTAATGTAAGAACACAGAATTAAAACTAAATTAAGGAGCATTTGGTTTTCCTGGCAGTGTTTCATCATTACGATTAGCTTATAAGGATCTTGAAATTCAGATGAAGAAAGATGAAAATATGAACATTAGTGGCAAAAAAAAAGTTGAATCAGAGAGACTTGGCATGGGATTTGGACACTGCAGAAGGTACGTGAGACTCTGCTTTCGTGGAGTTCGAAATTTAAACCAAGTTTGCTAATCATCGATGGATTTTTCTTGGACGGTGTTAATTTCAACTTTGGGGGTATTTTCTTATTATTCCTTACCTTTTCCAATTGTTTTGGCTTTTATCTGGTATTCAGGACAGCATGAAAAATTCCAGATATATGTGACTATATTTTGTGTGGTTAGTCTTCACAAAACTGTAATATTTTTGAAAACTTGTACCAAAAAAACATTTATTACTTATGTTTTTAACTTCACTCTAATACATTTGTCTTTGTTCAGAATATAGCTTAAAACATTATTTTTTGGGTGAAACAAAAGTCTATGAACTTACTGTTGTAATTTTTTGTTTTATTCTATTTTCTGAAGTGGTATTTCACATTCAGTGACTTCAGATATGCAGACCATAGAACAGGAATCACCCATCATGGCAAAACCAAGAAAAAAGTATAATGATGACAATGATGATCCATATTTTACTTCCAGCTCAAGGTAATCTATTGAAAATCGTCATTAAAATGTCATTTTGAAAAATAGTGACTAGTTTGAATTTATTAGTTTGTTTACATTAGGGGAAATGACAAATCAATTTACTTCTTTTATTTTTTTTGAGTTGGAGTCTCACTGTCGCCCAGACTGGAGTGCAGTAGCCGCTCCCGGCCACCGCAGCCTAGACCTGCTGGGCTCCGGCGATCCTTCCGCCTCAGCC